ATCAAACGGTCCAGAAAGAAAACCTTAGGGCCTTGAGGGTTGGTGAACGCCGTAGTCATGGAGTGACAATGAAGCCAAGGAGTGAGCAACTCAGTCAGGGTCACCCTCTTTTTGTCCAGTTCGTACAGATGCACTAGGGCGATGGGCTGAAAATCACTGCCAGATTCATAGCAGCACAAACTTCCGGATGCCTCAAAGCGCCTCTCCCATGCTTGGGACAAGCGAGAAGATTTGCACCACAGCAGCGCTTCACTGATGAACTCACCAATGTCACGCTGCTCCCCATGAGGTGTTCCCTCAAAAAGCTCAGCCAGGCAAGGATGACTGGCCAGAACCACCGGCTCATCCGCTGTCACGGATTGTAGCAACCCCTGAACTGCGTCCCATGCAGTTCGAAACGTGTACTCATCGAAGGACGAGCTGTGGAGCAAGGACCAAAACATGGTGACCAGGCCTGCATTGGCATAGCGCCAATTGGCGGTGTTGGCACATTGCATGACCAGGAGCTGGTTGATCCATTGGTGCTTCATTGCCTCCCCTTGCGAGGGTGGAGGATGTCCTGGATGTCCTGAGCGATTTTGCTCCTCTGCAGGCCGTGTTGTTTCATCCGAGCCCCCATCAGATGCCAAAGGGACGACCCCGTCAATTGCCTCATCACGCTGGACAGGGAGTCGTTCCTGAGTGAAATTTGGAGCTTCCAGGGCACGACATCTGCTTTGCTCTGGGCCGAAGCCATCGCGAAAAAGCGAATGCAATTGGAGGGTTCTTGAAATGCCTGTTGAAGTAGCCCCAGATGCGACTCCATCGTCGTCCACGAGATGGATGCAGTTTGACTGACCACCAATTTTTGCTGCTGAGCATGCCACATCAAGTACGGAAAGCTCAAGTCCTCCAAAACGGTCAGACTCTTGACTGCCGCTGCCTTCGTGCCAGGATCTTCGAGTTGATGATAAAAATTCTGGAACCTCGAGACCAACTCGTTGAGGATGGCTTGTAGAAGGTACGACCTTAGGGGCATCTGTGTCTGATCTGGTGGTAGGTCTCGCCATTGATTTGCTGCTCTGAGCAGCAAGGGCACTGCTCCGGAGTTGCCCCGTTGGAAGAACATCACAAACGAGTCCTGCATAGAAACCGAGTTCAAAGAATCCTCGTGTCGGATCAGGAGTTGGCCCATCAGTCGGCAGAGTTTGGTCACCGGCATTGGGTCCTCGTCCCTGGTGGAGCTGGTGGACCGAGTCGTCTCGGATCTCATTGGCGAGGGGCGGCGAGCTTGTCTTCTCCGCTGTTGGGAGCGTGGAGCATCCTCCATGCGAGCTCTCTTCTCTTGAGGTGGTTGGGCCATCTCTTCCTGAGACACGAGCATATTTAAGAATACTTGGCCCATCTGACTCAGTCGATCTCCTTCAGTGACCGGCATCCGATCGTCCATCAGGAACTTCAGGGCGAAGCCAAGTCAGTGCACAACCCAAGTTGCACAGGGTGGCACACTTGTGCTGGAGCTTGGCCCACACGCTGTCGTCAAGGATGGCGTAGTCCTTGTGACCTTGATTGCACCATGGACACGGCAGTGGTTCCCGGAGGGCAGGTTGTTGAGCCGACAAAAACCGGTGCAGCAAGTGAAGGAGAAAGCCATTGTGTCCACTCTCTTGCCTATGATACTGTTGAAGATGCTCAATCAGCACGTTCGATGTACTCACCGTGCGAGCACAAAGCAGGCAGGAGTGGCTCAGTTCCTGACTATGGCGAAGAAGGAAGGTCCAGGACTTCTCATCCGGGGCCAAGAGCCATGGTGCCAGCTCCGGAACCTGCGCACGAAGAGCTGAGTGATTGCGAATCAGCTTGTGGACCGAGTCCGTGGTGGGCGTCCATGGAAGCATGGGCAACCGATGTCGTGGGTCAACCAAGTGTTGAAGCATTGCCAATTGTCGATAGGCCGGACATCGGTGCGAGCGGGGTTGAGGTACTCTACATGGGTTGCAGATGCAAGGCAACCGAGCTTCATCAATGGTGTTGGAGGTGAGATCTGCGGCACGATAGAAACCACCATGATGACATTGAAGATGTCTCACTAAGTCAGCTGTCCGGGAGTACGACTGTCCGCAGAAGCTACATTGCATCGTGAGGTTGTGTCTCATCGTCGAATCTCTGACCACCTCTCAAGGTCCTGTTCAGCCGGATGTTGATGTGCATGTGGTAGCGGAGCCTCAGTGGTGAGTCGGTTCCATTGAGAGAGCACGGCAGCCTGTAGGAGAATCTTGCATTGATGGGAAGTACGATATTGAACTTGACACAGCTCACATGGGGAACTTCGATGGTGAGCCCATTCTTCATAAAGGCGCTGGCTGATGAGAGCCAGATTGCCATGTTCCAACTGAAGATGATGAACCATGTCTGAGAAGCGGGATTGCTGTTTGCCACAAACACAACAATGGGTGAGCATGTAATTGACGAGTTCCTTGTTGTCTCCAAGGGCCTGGAAGGAAGGGCCCCGAATCAAGGGCACAGCCAATGTGCGGATCTTGTCCAGCTCCATGGAGTCAGCCTGAGAGTCATCAAATTGGGAGCAATTACCAAATTCAATGTGGGTGCGAAGATTAGTCCACGACTGAAAGGTTTTGTCACAATGTCGACACTGAGGAAGACCAGCAAGGGCGTCTCGTTCAATCCTGAAAAAGAACAATCTGCCGTGGCCCCGTGCATGCATGTGATGTTCATGTCGACTAAGAAGTGCAGCAGTGCTGAATCTAGCAAGACAAGTCCGGCACTGGAAAGCAGGTACTGTAGGGTCAACCGGAATGGCCTGAGAAACAATCCAATGATCCAACAAAGAGACCAGTTTCTGCGTCTCAGTCAGTGGAATCTGATGAAGGATGTCGGTATGGTCCAAAGTGTCCAGTTTGTCATGCCGGCCTTGCAGGATCCGGAGACACGCCCGTCGGAGATATACGGCCGGTGGCTCAAGTTCAAAAACTTCATGAAACTCTGCACGTGTTCGATGTGTATCGCGTGAATGATCATGCATGAGCATACGTCTTTGCAAGGTCAACTGAGAAAGCAACTTCCTGAGCCCTGCAGGACGGCATCCAATCATGGGCAAGCCATACAGCGTGGTAGTTCTGACCACTGAACACCATAATGAGTCCCGTTGACGTGGCGAAAGGCCCTTTTTCGAACAAAGCCATGGTCGAAGGCGTTGAAAGGCCCGAAGTCCACTGAGGAGACGGTGCTGCACTGATGCAGGTTGGAGGGTCTTGTAACTCAGCTTGATCCCTAAATATGGAACAGTGGAGTGCAGCAAGACCTTGGACACCGCAGCATTGCTCCGGGGAAAACAGATGTACCAGCCGTCCTCGGTGCGCTTGAGGAATCTGGCTTGTGCCTTCTTGTGTGCACTGCCCTGCAAGGAGACCATGGAAAAACATTTCTGTAGATTGATCTGTAGATTGTATTCCTCCAGAATGTCAAGGAGAATGCCACAATTGTGAACAAACTGAGAGAGAGATTCCATGGTCGTGCAAGATTGGTGGACCAAAAAGTCATCAGCATAGATGGTAATGCACTGCTCAATCCATTCCCAGGAGGTCTGTTCGGCCAATCTAGAGAGTATACTGGTTGTGAGGCAACACCAAAGAAAAGGAGCAGCTTTACATCCTTGTCGAACCCCACGATGAACCGGAACAGCCGAAGAAAAACCTTTGTGGGAAATGTCATAGTGGGTGCCTCGATGCCATTCATGTAGCAAATGTAGACAGTCCCTTCTAACCCCCAAATCTTCCATCCCACGAAACAAAAGGTCCCGGGAAACACTGTCAAAAGCCTTGCTCAAATCAAGGCTGAGAAGTGCACCGCCGATCAGGCCAGTGCGAGCCAGTTGGGAGTTCTGTCGCTCCGCAGGTCGCTGGAATTGAGTGATCAAATGCGCAACTTCCTGACAGTGATGCACGGCACGTGCTATTGCATCCGCAGTGCCCCTGAAGGGCAAATAAGCCAGCTGTGGTGTGGAGCACAGAATATCCAACACAGATGCTCGAGCTCGCTCACTCACTAAGCCAATCACCGCTTTTCCAAAGACTTCTTGTAAGGCCAGGGGGCGGAGGTTTTTGGCAGAGTTAGGAGGTTTACCAGGCTTAGGAAGCAAAAACAGGTGCCCACTTTTCCAGGAGGTTGGGATATAGGGATCAGGTCTATGCCACCAAAGGTGTAACAGGGACATCAACTTACTAGCAATCAGGCTGGGTTTACAAAGTACACTTAATGATGCGCATGTGCCGGGGGCATTGGCTTTCAACGGTGCCAGGCTCGAAAGCGCTCTCACCAAGTCTGCTTCAGTAAACGGAATCCCTGGACCTGTCGATGCACGGAAGGGCGGAAGGGGCCCCGGACCAGGTGGTCTGAACATATTGTTTCAGGGATGTAAATTCCTCTATTGGGCTAAGGATCCTACCAGATGCATCGCGAATTTGGATGCGTGTCGTCTTCTCCTTGGGGTTCAGCCGCCTGACAAGTTGATGTAATCGGCTCAAATCGTGTCGATCAGCGGCTTGCCTGGCATCTGTCAATACCTGCCGAATGCGATCTTCTTTAGCCTGAGCCGATGCAGTCTGTTGATCACGGTGGACCTTCCTATGCTGCGTGATCAGCTGCCAACATTCAAACATGGTGCGAAGAGACACGACTCTGGGGGTCTTGATCAGCTTGTACAGTGCCCATTTCTGGGAAGCAAGACCTTGAACCTGTCCCGTGGTCATGAGCCGTTCAGCTGTGTGTGAAAAGGTGTTTTGCATATCGGAAGTCAGGTGTGTGTGCAAATGTGTGAAGTTGCCATCACTGGGCCACCTGACTTGGGCTAGATATTGCGTGGTCCTGTGCACATAGTCCTGCCATCTGGCGGTACCTAATGTGCGTTCAGAGCGACCCCTATTTCGGTGAGCAAAGCTGACAGAACTCAGTGCAGCTCCTGTCCACGGTTTCCAAGCCATGGAGATGGAGCAGACCAAGGGACAATGACCCTGCAACGAAGTGCCCATCAAGGGGCAACTTGGGATGGGAGAACACTGGCGGGTTTCGTGATCGACCTGCTTCAGGCGTGTACATACAAAATCGATGCGAGATCCTGTGCCTTTGCTGCCATGAAAAGTGGCAGGCAGGCCAGGAAGCATGGTGTTGACAGCACACAATCCATGTTGCTTGAGGATGGCACTCAACAAGTGTTGGTCAGGGTGTTGAAAGCCAACAGTTGAATGTCCATCATCTCCAACAAAGTTAGCATGTGCAACATGAGGTGGTTGATGTGGAAGGCTCGTATTAAAATCTCCAACGAGGAGGAGATTATTACGTGTGGGAAGCATAGCAAGGTATTCATCCAGAGTTCGAAAGACATCTTCTCTAGTTTGCAAGACATGA